AAAATAAAAATTCAATAAAATAAAACGGATATTTGCGTGATACATTGCCTGATTTGTGTCTGCCAGTGCACAACGTACGTCTCTTTGTTGCTCGCTCGTGTAGCCTTCCGCGATGTCCTTATGCGCTATACCTAACCTAATGACCAACGCTTGTCGATTGTTTTCTTCCACGCGACTGTCTCGCGAATCACGTGCGCAGCGAATCTCCGGGCACACACGAAACAAAAGAAATACGAAACTACCGCGGTTAGGTTCACTGTCGGACCTCATTTTCACGTTGGATAGCGCATACGTTGGACATCGCGGAAGGCTACACGAGCGAGCAACAAAGAGACGTACGTTGTGCACTGGCAGACACAAATCAGGCAATGTATCACGCAAATATCCGTTTTATTTTATTGAATTTTTATTTTATTTAATTGCAACGCGTATATATGTGGAGAATATGTCTGGTTATTACCGTGTAAAAAAGTGCCGCGAGTTAAAGAGAAGACGAAATGTGGACGATCAGGGAAGTACATCGAAGAACAAGCATGCACGGTTAAATGTGAGTGATGATAAGGACAATTATGATCGAGTGACTTGTAATAATTCAAGCAGTAATATTGATAAAGTAGAGATAGATATGGTTAGTGAAGAGACAGAGATAGACAAGGTTATGTTTCGACACGCGAGTGACCGTGCATTACCGTTGTTTGAAAGCATATCTGAAAAGGTTAACGATGAGATAGAGATAGGTACAGTTAATAAAGAAATAGAGATAGATACAGTTAATAAAGAAATAGAGATAGATGAGATTACATTTCCAAATGCGAGTAATAGTGAATTGGCATTGTCGACAGACACATCGAAAAAAGGAATTAAAGAAAAAATCTTGCAGTGGACATTAGGAAACTTAGATACATTGCGATTACGCGTAGTAACGGATTTGTTACTTTTATTAAGGGAAGAGGGGCACGTGTCGTTACCAAAGACAGCACAGGCTTTATTAGGTACGAAGCACTACAGAATTCTACAAAGAATGACTAGCAATCGAGGTACAGACGGTTCATACGTGTACTTGGGGATAAAGAACGGATTAGAAAAAATAATTTCGCCGAATGTATATGATGAGAGTAATATTTCGATATTGGTTCACGTAGATGGGATGCAAATTTTTAACAATTCTGAAATTCAGGTATGGCCAATTAGTGTAAAACTTTTTCACGCGAATTATGTTGCGAAGCCTTTTGTTGTTGCTATCTATTGCGGGGATTCCAAGCCTCAAAGCAGCGTGACTTATCTTTCTGATTTTGTCGCAGAAGCGACAAATTTAATAAATAACGGTGTAGAAATCCGCGAGAGAAAGTACTCATTTAAAATAAGTGCTATTATTGCAGATGCTCCCGCGAGAGCATTTTTAAAATGTTGCAAGCCACCAAACTCATTTTATGCATGCGAGAGATGCGTAACGAAAGGTGTGTCTGTCGGTAAGAAGCGTTCAATAAAAAGAGTTTATCCAGAAATTAATTGTTCGAAACGAAGTAAAGAATCTTTTTTGAAGCAACAACAGCCAGGGCATCACAAACAAAATATAAAATCAGCGTTGCTGCTATTGCCAAAATTTGATATAATTAAATCTGTAGTTATAGATTCCATGCATCTCCTGTACCAGGGTGTAACAAAATTTTTATTGGAAAAATGGCTTGTAAAAAAGAGTGTTGCAAGACTTAGAAAACGTCAGAAACGAAATTTAAAAGTTACAATGTACTCCATCAGTCGAGACATACCATACGAGTTTCAACGTAAAAAATTTGATATAGATGTAATAGGTAGATGGAAAGCGACACAATTCAGATTTTTCTTGTTATATTGCAGTGCAATTGTTTTGCACGATGTACTTCCCACTGATTACTATAGACATTTCTTGCTATTATTTACAGCTTGCCGTATTTTAAACAAACGAGACATTACGTTATCACATTGTCAATACGCGAGAAGTTTATTGAGAAAATTTTTTTACTTGTTACCGTCCCTGTATGAAGAAGACTCTCAAGTTCTAAATATGCATTATTTAATTCATATAGCTGACGATGTACAAAATTTCAACGCACCATTGAATGATATGTCCGCGTTTTGGGGTGAAAATTATATTAGTATTTTTAAAAAATTCGTTACATCGCCAAATAAGCCTTTGACACAAATTGTAAATAGGTTGTCTGAGTTAGAATCGCGAAAAACATGTGGACTACAAAGAAAAGAAAGAGATTTCGATAAATGTATCTCTGATATTTCCAACACATATGTTCACAAAGAGCAAGAATATATTACTGTGTCCAACCTTAACGGCAATGAATTTGTATTGAAATCCAAGCATCCCGACAACATAGTACAGTTACGAAATAACAAGATTTTTAAGATTGATGCAATATTATTAAAAAAAAATGAGGCAATTAGGAATGGGTACAAACTTGAGGATTTCTTCATACTAGGTTGTGAACTGGCAGATCCACGCGAAACGTTCAATTATCCTACTTTATCGACACAGCTTGGAATTTTTGTTGCAAGTAATTTTGTAGAATCGAAAGAAATTTGTAGTATAACAGCTGTTCAATATAAATGTATTTTATTACATATTAATGATAAAAAATATGTTATTTCTTTATTGCATAATTAATAGTTAGTGTTTGTTGGGATAAACAATAACTGAATTATATATCTTAAATCAAAAAAATAATACACATGTACAGTATCGATCATCTTAATATACATATTCTTCACATTTTATTCTCGAGCACATCTTTTCTCCCGTGAACGGAATGTAGTGGACGACTTTTATTAAACTTTCGTACAATAAATTACCTCTCACGCCTTCGCAGTTTGCTTTTCCGTACGGACTGATACGACTCGCGATTCTCCCTCATCTATGATAATTTACGGCGACTAACAGATTTCGGCGAACCGACACGCGTGGTTTCATTGACGTGGCAGGCATTGGTAGTATTTTTCACGATTGTTATATTTCGCGATTTTTACTTTTTACTTTACATTATTTACTTTTTACATATCCTTTGGTAAAATGCAA